TTGGGTCAAAGTCAACAGAGGAGCCATGGTTCTCTGCAGGTCAGGAGCTCAGACACTGAAACCTCATTCAAGTTAAAAAAAAAAACCATGATCATGATTCCCTCACGGCCAATCAGAGAAGAAAGTGATGTGATGTTGTTTTGTGCTGCGTGTAAACAGTGTCTTCAATAATCTTCAAATATAGAAACCCCTTTTTTAAAATAAATCTGTGTTTGTGTTTTCAGTCTCCTGAACAGCTGTGACCAGTCTGTGGTCTCGGAAGTGAAGGGGGCGCTGCAGTCCATGAAGGCACAGCTCAGCAGCAGCAACAAAGGAGCAGAGATCCTGCTGGAGCTTCTGAACAAATAAAGACTTTTCACAGGAATTAAAACAGATCACATGAATAAACTTCTCTCTTTGTGCACGGTCATGACTCCTTCCAGGAGATGGCGTTGACGAAACTTCATCCCTGTGAGAATGTGGGAAGTTTTCAGGAAGTGGAAAATGACATCTCTTCAGTCATGGACAGAAAACTGTTGGAGAACGACAGACAAAAATCACTGCCTGTTGAAAGTTCTACTGAGGAACCAGGAACTCTTGGTAACCAGGGAAGCTAACAAATGTAAGATTGTGAGAATTCCTCCTCTGCTTTGTGAAAAGTTTTAGTTCGCCATGTGTTTCTTCTTTTAATATTTTATAATATGCTGTAATACGGTGTGATAAGTAAGTGGAAAATTAAAAAGTACTTTATATGACTGGGGTTATTGGAGTTTTTATTGTGATCCTACAACCCAATCTACACATTATATAACGTGTTATATAATATATTTATATTATACCAATCTAGAACCGGCTGTTTATCACAGTTGTTTCCCAGACTTACCTTTAACAGTGGAGGGTATTAAACCCTGTTGAAGCTCAGCTTTATTGTGACATCTACAGACAAACAAGCCCATTGAACATGTACTGGACATACAAATTCTAGATTGTGTTTTTCCACTTTATTCTATTTCTGTGACTTAGAGCACAGTTTACATGTATTTAAATAGCTGGACCTAAAATGGGCACAGCCACTAAACGAGAAGCAGTCTGTTGACAAACATGTACAGACCAGAACGTCATAGGTGTCTACTTCAAAAACATACTATTAAAAACACTGGTTTGTCTGTGGAGGTAATTGTGGAAACATGGTGGTGAAAGACGGAGAACTATGTTCAAAGTTCATGGTATGGCTACATGCACACGTCTAAACATTCTGAAGAATAAACATTCTACACATTCTGATTTAACTCAACAAAAACAATGTCCTAGTACAAAACCTTGAGGAACACCATCAGTGCACTGGGGCTCTATTATTGTTAAAATCTTCACACAATTGCAATTACTGGGTTCCCAGACCAGTAGGTGATCTTTTGGACCTGTCTCACTGCACGTCCATCCTGGGTTCATCATCATCACAGCACTCTTTGAACTTCTTCGTCACCACCCTTCTGGCCGAAGTCAGTTTCCCTCGAGCTTTGGTCACAGCGGTGAACTCGTGGGACCTGAGCTTGATGTAGTAGTCGGAGAACTTGTTGTAGAGCACAGAAATGGGCATGCCGTTGAGGATGATGCCAAAGGAAATGCAGGCGAAGGCAAAGATGCGGCCCAAGTTGGTCTCAGGGACCATGTCCCCATAGCCCACGGTGGAGATACTAACCTGGGGGTTGGGGTGGGTGGGGGGTGGGGTGGGTGGAGTCAACCAGCAGATCAGCTAAATAAGGCAGTTAGGAGCAGACATGTCTGAACATTTGTGGACTGAGACTCACCGTGGCCCACCACCATGCATGTGGGATGGAGGTGAAGTTGGTGTTGTGAACATCATGCTCCACAGTGAAGACCATGGCTGAGAACATGAAGATACCCATACTGATGAAGAGGAGTAAACAACCCACCTACACAAACAAACAAACAAAAATATCACATTACTTTCATTTTTTTCTAGAAGTTATATGATAATACTTCAAATAAACCTGGAGGTTGTGAATATTGTTAGATGTAGTAGATACAGTACCAATACTACTGTAGTAGATACAGTACCAATACTACTGTAGTAGATACAGTACCAATGAAACACCAACAGCTGCCACAGTAGAAGAAAACCTGGAGAGGTGGAGGTTTGCTTTGGAGCGAAGGTCAGGAGGAGGACAACAGAATAAATGTGTGTACTACAGCAGCCGTGACCTCTACAGTCAGAGTACTACAGTACTACAGCAGCAGTGACCTCTACAGTCAGAGTATTACAGTACTACAGCAGCAGTGACCTCTACAGTCAGAGTATTACAGTACTACAGCAGCAGTGACCTCTACAGTCAGAGTATTACAGTACTACAGCAGCAGTGACCTCTACAGTCAGAGTATTACAGTACTACAGCAGCAGTGACCTCTACAGTCAGAGTATTACAGTACTACAGCAGCAGTGACCTCTACAGTCAGAGTATTACAGTACTACAGCAGCAGTGACCTCTACAGTCAGAGTATTACAGTACTACAGCAGCAGTGACCTCTACAGTCAGAGTATTACAGTACTACAGCAGCAGTGACCTCTACAGTCAGAGTATTACAGTACTACAGCAGCAGTGACCTCTACAGTCAGAGTATTACAGTACTACAGCAGCAGTGACCTCTACAGTCAGAGTATTACAGTACTACAGCAGCAGTGACCTCTACAGTCAGAGTACTACAGTACTACAGCAGCAGGGACCTCTACAGTCAGAGTACTACAGTACTACAGCAGCAGGGACCTCTACAGTCAGAGTACTACAGTACTACAGCAGTCCAGTCCAGTCTGACCTGATGATAGCACTGTTTCAGTGTGAAGCCAAACGCCCTGAGACCCATCGAGTGACGAGCCAGCTTTAAAATCCTGAAGATCCTCATGAGACGCATGATCCTCAGAACCTGACCCACCTGCAGAGACAAGAACCTGTCCATCAGTTGGTTTGTTCCTGGTCGGTCTCAACCTTTTTCTTCTCCTCCAGGTTTTTCCGTACCTTTCCGACACGTCCCACCGTCTCTATGTCACCGGAGTACATCTGAATGTCTTTATCCTCAAAACACTCCAGCGCCATCTGCAGGTAGTGGGGCAGGATGGCCATCAAGTCCACCGTGTTCAGAACACTGTGTCCAAAGCACCTGAGGTCAGGGGTGGAGCAGAGACGCAGCAGATATTCTAGGGTGAAGAAGACGATGCAGAAGGACTCAACGTACTCCCCCTGGAACCTGCCACTGGGCCGACCTGAGGCCGTCTGGAAAAGACAGAGAAACGGACTAGTTCAACTGACTAGTTTGGACTAGTTCAAGAACAAAAAACAAAACGAACTTTCCATCACACACTTTATACTGCATCTCATCCACAGTGTTGAGAGTCATGGCCACCAGAGAAACCAGCACAAAGGCCGAGGAGGCCACGCCCACCAGTTTGGCAGGAACCGAGGAGAACGGATTCTCCATCAGGTTCCAGATCTTCCTCCTGGTCTCTCCAAACACCATGTTGTGGAACAAAAACTGGTTATCTTCAATCTCTACCTGGACGACAGAGGACAGAAACAAAGTTTTGGTCTATTATTTATTTTAATAATGTTGGACATCACTGTCAACTGTAACCTTTTAGTCCAACAAGTGTCAGTACTGGGTCTTTGTTAACCACGCACAGATGTCCACTGACCTCCACTGTCATCGAGTGACCTCTACTGACCTCCTCTGTCCTCCACTGACCTCCTCCATCAGCTGCTTCTGAATCTTCAGCTCGTCGTTCAGCTCATCCTGACGTTCCTCAAAGGCGATGCGACAGCAGCGTTGGCTGTATTTGATCCTGACGCCCCAGTAGCCGATCTCCTCCAGGAAACTGCGAGGACAAAAATCATCTTTGACCCACAGAACTCCAGTCCTGAGCAGGACAGAGACAGGGACAGGAGACAGGAGACAGGAGTTAGTTCAGGTCATCACTCAGCTCATTCTGTTCTGATTCCACTTCACCTGTAGAAGATGAAGATATTGTGGAAAACCCGAGGATCTCGGTCAAAGAAGAACTCATCCGTCTGGACGTTGTAATCGTCACACAGCTCCAGTTTTACGTTGTGGTCCGTGTTTGTAGCCAAACGTCCGACTCGGGTTTTGGGATACCGTGCAGCTAAAGCATGAGGTACGTGGTATAGCTGAAGAAGAAAAAGAAACAAGGCACTTTCTCCTACAGAAACAAGTCCCAGCTCTAACTCTAACCAGCTCTAATTTGAATATTAAATTTTTTTGTCAGCAGTGGAATTTTGTTGAAATTACCGTTCCTCCAACGTTGATGTGAATGTCTGAGTCTTTGGTGGGATACACCAGCAGGTGGCAGTGTGACTCAGGAATTTGTTCTTCCTCATCTTCATCCTCAGCATAGAGATCGTAAATGTCTTCACACGCTTCCTTCAGAAATTAAATGAAAAAGTCTTAGTGTAAATGTTTTAGAAAACTAAAGTTGTAAAACAAATATGAAAGTATTAAAATAAAGGGTTAAGATATTGTAAATACATGTATTCAGTCTTTACAATATAGTCATTATAATAAGTTTCCATATCAATTTATACTGTTATTGAATGCTGTTGTTATGCTGTCCTAAATGGAGAAGTACTGAACAGAAGTGTGAATGCTGATGGTTTACACAGGATGGTGTATGGTACTGATGGCACCGACTGTTAGCTAAGATAGACACAGATCTGACCTCCTTGATCTGAGTTCTGAATGTAACCATTGTTCTGCACTCTTTGCCTGCAAGTAAAACTTTAAAAACTTGAGATTCTTTGTGTGTTAGGAAACGAGAGTATCCTATCTAACAGAGTAAGTTTCCTGACACAAACTTTTCTGAATTTATTTTTTAAGGTGAATCCAGGCTGATTTTTCACTTTTAACAAACAAAGTAACAACTCTGAAGATATTTAAAAAAAAAACAGACAGAGGTTTGTGTAGAATCTTAAAAAATAAAAAGGCGATGAACATGTTTGTACATCCAGAATAACAAACTAAAAGACTTCACAGATTCTTTTGTGAATGTCAGTCTCACCTGTGTGGAGTTCCAGGTATTTAAGGTGCAGTGAGTGAAGTCCAGATCCTCCATCGGTTCCTCACTGGTACTAATTCCTCTGCAGTGAACAAACTCCTGCTCCGAGCACGGAGGTAGAACGAAATGACCACGGTTTACCGCCTGTGTGTTGTTGTTAATCTGACAATATTAGTAAATCTCTCTCTCTCTCTCTCTCTCTCACACACACACACACACACTCAGAGTGAGGTGGTGTGTGTGTGTGTGTGTGTGTGTGTATGTGATGGATGGAGCTCATCTGCTGATTAAACTTTTAAATGCTTTTAATCTTTCTCCTTCAGCCTCCATCACTGACGGCCTCCACCTGACTGCAGAGGTTGATAGACAAAGCCCAATCAGGTCAAAGGTCACACTCTCATAACATTGTATGAATTCTTCTACTGCCAACACCACCTCATAGAACGTTTATCTTTGTTGATTCTGAGCCAGAGTAAAAAAGGAAAAATTATGTTAAGAAATTTAACAAGTGAATTAACTTTCTGGAAAATAAACCAGGGTCAAAGGTCATCGTCCTCATTTCGCGATGAAGGCAGCAAATGTATCTACTGGTTACAATGGACTTTCCTCTGAATATATTAGTTAAATTAGTCATCCCAGACATTTTTCAAAAGAACTCCACCCTGTAAATAAAAACTTGATTGGAGAAAAAAAAATGCATGAGAATGAATCAAGAATCAGACAAAAGATCAGCTAGAGATCAGCCAAAAGCCATCAGAAGAGTCATCAAGCTATTGATAAGAAATCCCATCCAAAATCTACAGCTAGGCTATTCAAATAGTGGCCCGCAGAATCATCAAGCTATTGATAAGAAATCCCAAAATCTACAACTAGGCTATTCAAATAGTGGCCCGCAGACCACATATGACACAGTCATAACCTCAAAGTGGCCTGGTCTGTGGCGTAAACTGAGAATCACAACTGGCATGTAGTCCAAAACTTCTAGAGTAGAACAGATCATGAGGACAACGCTCTCTGTAGCCTAACAACATGCAACCCACAATGCACCACTATTGGCTTTAGAAGTCAGAGGACATGTCTGTTTGAAACCAATGTAAAATTATAAATGAAAGTTGTCAGATTGGGTTTAGTTTGCAGTCAGCTGGTTGGATACTGAAAACATTCTGTTGATTAGTTACCATAAACCGCTGGACCTGATTTATACGTTTAGGTAGAACCACTTTTGAATGACACTCAAGTTTTATTGCAGTACCATTAACAATTAAACAACACTTTTTAAATTATTGAATACATTTCACATTTTAGATAATGTATTTTTTGTCAACAACACATTTTAGATAATGTATTTTTTGTCAATATCTTAAAAAGTATACAACTATCTCTTCTGAACTCTTCTTCTTGTATGACTCCAGGATCAGACAAACATGTTAATGATTAACATTAATCGGGATTAAATCAGGAACCTCCGTGGTGGAGGTTTCACCAAAGTCTCTCGGCAGACTAAGGCAGTTTAAAATGAAATAATCATCTTTAATCCTTTTCACGGTCACAGGGAGGAGCTGGCCTAAGGATTCATCACATGAGGACCAGGTTGAAGCTCAACAAAAAGGTGGATAAATAATACATTTTTAAAGCGCTACAATAATAAAGAATGTTCTACAAACTCTGAGAACCAGAAGTTGTGACTTTGGTTATGACTCAGTCCCAGAGATCAACTTGATTGACCACTTATCTTATTAACATGCACAAACTGGCATGTGTACAGTGCAGTTTATGACAACACAGCAGGCTGTGTGATGTCACTCCATGGTCTGAACTGTTGACACTGGAGTCTGATGAAAAAACCACACCAACAAAGACAACAATGAAGACAGAGAATGAAACACACTTGGGGATCAAACTGTTGACCTTCATGTTGTAAGGAAAGGGATTTTTCAAAGATCTAAGATGAAACCACTGTCACCAGTGAATTTAAAAAAAAAAAAAAGAGACCTGCAATAAGAGCTGGGGATCAAACTGGTGACCTTTTTACTGTCAGACCACAGCACAGACCACTCTTCTCCACTTGGCCCATCAATCAACCATCATTTATCATCACAGCCTGACAGAGACACAAACTCAGAAAACACACATGACGTTTCCACCACTGTTGATTTAGATTTAATTCATCAAATGTTTTTATCTTCAGATACAGAAGGTGTGTCACTGGTTTCACTCCTTCACTGTACAGATTTTAGAAAAACGTTCCACAGCAACAGCACAAACATACAAAATAGTTCTGGTTCCTAACCTGAAGCAGTAGATCCAGTGGTGTGGTTTTACTCCATTTCTCAAACACACCTCCGTCACCTCTTTTTTTTTGTTGTTGTTGTTTTTTTAAACCCTGCTGACGTAACTGGTCTTTAGCAAAAAACTCAATTTTCAAGTCAAATGTAGAGAATCTTATTTACAGAAGGAAACCTTTTGATCAAAGTGCATCGAGAAAAAAGTCCTGACTGACGTCTGAGGGAAGAAGTTTCATATGTACAGTTTTTACAAATCCTCTCACCTTATAGCTTATCTGTAAAAATCCCAGTGTTTCTGTAGGAAACAAAAAAAAAAAAAAAGAAATCTTACACTAGTGTTTAGATATAACTGATAATACTGTAATAAATAAATACATGTATGTACGGCCTTTGACCCTCAGTCTCTGAGCTCAGAGCCTTGGTTTCTACTGCTGATTCATGATGTTTACAGTTTAAA